TTGGGGTAAAGAAGAGTTTTCAAGTTAGAATTGTATAGATAAATTCAAAATAATATTTAGTTTAAGATAATCAATTAGGGAGATATCTCAAGCACATTGAATTATACGATATCATAGGGGCAAAATGGATATTTTCTGACCTCATTCGATTTCTTCGGGGTAAAATGGGTCTTTTCTGAACTCCTACGATTTCATGGGGGCAAAATGGGTTTTTCGTATACTCCTACGATTTTATGGGGGTAAAATGGTTATTTACTGACCACATACGATTTCGTTGGGGCAAAATGGGTATTCTGTGAACTTTTACAATTTGATTGGGGCAAAATGGGTGCCATGTGAACTTTCACGATTCCATTGGAGCAAAATGGGTATTCTGTGAACTATTACGATTTCATTGGGGTAAAATGGGTATTTCGTTAACTCATACGATTTCATGGGGGCAAAATGGTTTTTTCGTGAACTCATACGATTTCATTGGGGCAAAATGGGATTTTCTTGTATTCATACGATTTCATTGGGGCAAAATGGGTTTTTCTTGTACTCATACGATTTCATTGGGGCAAAATGGGTCTTTTCTGATCTCATAAGATTTCATTGGAGTAAAATGGGTATTTACTGACCCCATACGATTTAATTGGGGCAAAATGAGTTTTTCGTGAACTCGTATGATTTCTTAGGGACTAAATGGGTATTTTCTGACTTCATACGATTTCGTGGGGGCAAAATGGGTTTTTCGTGAATTCATACGATTTTATTGGGGCAAAATGAGTATTCTGTGAACTTTTGCGATTTCATTAGGGCAAAATGAGTATTCTGTGAACTTTTACGATTTCATTGGGGCAAAATGGGTATTTTCTGACCTCATTCGATTTCGTAGGGGTAAAATGGGTCTTTCCTGTACTCCTACGATTTTATGGGGGCAAAATGGGTGTTTTGTGTACTCCTACGATTTCATGGGGGTAAAATGGATTTTTCGTGAAGTCATACGATTTTATAGGGGTAGAATCGGTGTTTCGTGTACTTCTACGATTCCATATATAGCGACAAGATGGGTATTCTGTGAACTTAATAAAAGTTAATAAAATTTAATACAACTCATCACTACAGACATAAATTAGATATCACATGCATATCATCACGACTTGGACCACGGCTATCTTCAAAACTACACCGTGTAGAGATATGATAACTTCATCCCTGTACTGTATACTGATCCGTTGCAACTATGATTCATTGAGGAACTAACGGATTTAGGGGACATATCCTACCAGACAGGTAAGCCTTTTATATTTTTCTTTTAATAATATCATTATGAATCTTTTTCGTAATTTTCGTCTTGGTCACAATGCTTCTGTGTATTCATTATTCATTTTTTTCCAAGTCGACAATTATTATCGAAATTATTATATTCTGTTATTATTATATGAATAATTTTAATAGAAAAACGTACGGCATTACAGGACCGCCAGGGAATGGTGTCGTTATTTTGGCGGTTCTACGGAGATGTTCCTCCATATTTCCACGCTTTTCCGTGGAATCATTTCTTTCTATTTCCTACAAATAGGAACTAATACCTCGTATAAAAAATACCGGAGGGAATAGCAAATATTTACGTTTCAATTTATTCTGAGCTATTTTAGCATAACTTAGAAGTACCTTTATTGGAACCATTTACACATATTTTGTAAATGCTTCACAAATTACAGGCGAAAGGTTGTATAACATTTCCTGAGGGAATTGCAAATTTCAACTTTTCAGATGATTTTCAGACATCTCAACCTATCTTTCGGATACAATTTCTTCAAAACTTTTTACGGAGAACTTCTGAACATTTTGGAAGATTGTTGAAAAAATAACTTATTAATCTTATAAAAATTTTCTTTACGGATTGCGTATAAAACCCTCTAAAACTTACGTACATGATGATCGGATATTTGTATAGGAATATTTTCTATATGATTTATTTCTATACATAAATTTTGATGTAATTTTTTGTTTTCGTACGAAAGATATGTAAACGCTCTAGAGAAAAACGTAGAGAAATGGTACATCTCCATATGAAATGTTTATATAGATGAGGCAGTGTGTCGTATAGGAGTAAACCTATAGAAATCGTATAGGAATAATTTGTATTCAAAATATCCGTATCAAAATATGGGAATATCATATGCGAAAATCCTATATAACTTCTATACGCAATTCATTTTACCCCCATGAAATCGTATGAGTTTACGAAAAATCCATTTTGCCCCCATGAAATCGTAAGAGGTCAGTAAATACCCATTTTACCCCAATGAAATCGTAAACGTTCACAGAATACCCATTTTGCCCCAATGAAATCGTAAATATTCACAGAATACCCATTTTGCCCCCATGAAATCGTATGAGGTCAGAAAATACCCATTTAGCCCCTAAGAAACCGTATGAGTTCACGAAAAATCCATTTTGCCCCAATTAAATCGTATGAGTACTAGAAAAACCCATTTGGCCCCAATGAAATCGTATGTGGTCAATAAATACCCATTTTACCCCCATGAAATCGTAGGAGTACAAGAAAAACCCATTTTGCCCCAATGAAATCGTATGTGGTTAGTAAATACCCATTTTACCCCTATGATATCGTATAATTGAATGTGCTTGAGATATCTCCCTAATTGATTATTTTAAACTAAATATTATTTTGAATTTATCTATACAATTCTAACTTGAAAATTCTTCTTTACCCCAAAAACCATACACTGTGGCATCACTACCGGATGGCACCCCCTTCGCATTCCCATTTGACAATTTTTCCTTACGTCCGCCAGATAATACTTTTATCGCCTAATAACATAATCCATTATTTTTCCTCAAAAAATAGTCTTCACAAGTTGTTTCAATATTTTATGTCAGGCGACAATACTGAAAAAGTAAAAAAACAACACTTTCACAAATCCAAAACGATTAGAAAATGCAATCCATCGTACATTCATTGATTATCAAACAAGTCAGTCATTCTTAAGTGTCCCCTCCCTCACTGTAACATTGAGGGGAATAATGATATGTTCCTAATTAGAATATGGCTTGAAATAAGTCACTTTTTCAACTATTACTACTAAGCAAATGTTTTTTCGTTGTCGTTTACGCATTGTTCCCGGAAATGAATTTCCGGCTGTAAACTTACATCGAAAAAAGTGGTAGAAGTTAAACACAATTAATTTTATAATTTCCCTATTTGCACTGCAATTTTGTACACTCATATTTCTCTACATTCACAAATTAGACATCAATGGAAAATGTCCCTCACTCCGATTGGAATGCCGGAAAATTCTAAATTGGCCGGACTGCGAAAGATTCGAAACAATAATGATACACTCTAAATGACGTTTGCTGGACTATCATGTTCCCGCATCACATGTTTATTGCCACGTGCAATGTTCGATTGCGCACAGTAATTTTTGGAACTTATATTTCTTCTACACCACACCAGTTGGTTAACATTTCCTGCTCAAAATTTCGGTGAATAAGCCTCGAGATGGATGTGAACATTTTGTATATGGATTAATTACCGATGGAACATTTTGTCTGTGCACTATCATGTCGTGTACAATTTTTAACCATTCAGTTTTCAGAAATCGAAGTGAGACACCCAGACCTAAAAGCCTACGCAAAAATTGAGAATATAAATAGTCGTAGTTGAATCATTTTGAGTCATAAATATGAAGGAACACGATCGGTAAAATTTTCATTCACTCATGAACTTTAAAATTTTCATTTTTTTTTTTCGAACGATACAGCAGAATGTCGGCACATTTGATGTTTACTTTTTTACCTCCACTCTATACCCCAAAATTAGACTGACAAAGTATCTTGAAATCTATCAGTGAAAAAAATGGAAACTAGTACTTTATTTTTTCAATAAAAATTTATCAATTAATTGAAATTACTCGCTCAGGACATGATTAATCGAAAAATACACAAAAAAAATGTAGCACTTACATGGAGAGCTTTAAAAAAGAATTTCATCAAGAAATTAAAAAAGGTGATTATTTCCTGACAATTTCTAAAAAGGCTTTTTCAATGGCTTTTTTATTGTTTTTCTTGAATGCACCCCATTTTTAATGCAAAAAACCATCACGAAAGTTTGACCTATGTATCGATATCTATCGATAATAAACGCCAACTACACTGTTAAAAATTTTCGTTTGAATTTTCGGTACCAAGTTCCGGAAATTTTTATCGTGTTCAAGTTCCACTGCAATTTCAGGAAATCTTGTCGTTGAAAAATCAAATATTCCATTGATTTTCTATTGAAATGATGGGGAAATCAATAAAATACTTGATTTTTCAGCTCAATTATTCAGTGAAAATTCAGAAAAATCAGAAAAATTCAGAGAAAAATTGAAAATTCATATAATTTTGTTTCTCAATATTCAATATTCATGTTCCACTGAAAATTTAATCACTTTGTAAAATTTCCATTTCACTCCTACTGAGAACTCAGGAATTTCCATCAATTCTACTTAAAACTTGGAATTTCACAACCATTTTTTCCCTCAATCCGATTCAATGTCCCTCTCATGAGATTTCCTATAATATCTTGCTTGAAATTTTAAAAAATTTCTAACAGTGTATCACTTCGTGAACGCAAATCGGGGCTGTGTGTAGCTCTACAGAGGAGATCCTCCACACACGTGGACAAGAACAATTTGAGACATAATGTGAAAAACTTACTAAATTATACAAATTAAAACTTGTTGTTATTAAATATGAAATATCTGAAGTTTACTTTGAATCCTGTGCATTTATTTGTTAATTTATTAAAAACTCCTGTACTTGTGTGAGATCTGTCATCTAGATTTTAAAGAATGAGTTTGGGATGTAAAAGACCTCATACATTGAAAGGCAATGCACAACTTTTTCAGTGCTAGAAGTTTCAAATATAAAATAATCCGGGAATATGTTCGAAATCCAACGATTGAGGAAAAATTTGGAGTATTTAGCTGAATGATAGAGATATATTAATCATCAGCGTTCATAAAACATATTTATTAATATAAAACTGCCTACCTATTTTAACTGTACACGGATATATACAATTATTCAATGCTCTTTAGCCTCTAATAAATCATACTGGTGGTGACAGAAGTTCAAATATAAAGAAAAAAGTGGCATTAATACTAATAATATGTCGATGTAATAAACTTAGTTTGGTTCTAAGGTAAAAAAATGGTAAGTAATGCTACTGGAATTTGTTAATTTGTTAAAGATATACAAAAGATCGAGGGCATGTAAAATACCAACCCGTATTGAATAGAATGTGGATTATGATTTAACTACTTGTACAACATTGCGACTGAATATTTCATCTAATATATGACTTAATATATATATAGGTTAATCAATGAATAAATCAACATCCTTCGAGTGCTAACCGTTGATTAATATTCTCTACACGCACCCTCATTTCCCTCAGAATATCTTCTGCAAGATTATCAACGTTAGTATACCTGACTTTGAAAAAATCGAATATATCAATCAAAAATTCTATGACTTGGTCCCTAAAGTAGTTGCAGGTCGATGTGAGACTTCCTTCTGGTCCGAGGAAGCCCCAGACGAACACTGGCGATACTTGTTCCGAAATGGAGTAGAAGTGGGCTAGGAAACCATCTGAATATTTGAGCATTTGACGTTTCCCCATTAGGACTGACCATATTGCAGTGCCAATTGCCTTTAAAGGAAAAATAAATCAATTACTAAGTTGAAAATAAAATGAAGACGAGTCCTAGAATTTGATATAAATTATTTCAAAAATACCTTTGAAACTAGTAAACTTTGAGAAAATTGTCAGTTATTTTTGGTAAATTTTCCCAAAATTTTCAAAAAAATCATTTTCATGCATTCGTTCCAACTTTTTTTCACAAGAGATATTCATAAAGAGAATAATTACTTACAGTTTCTCTGAAACTCGCAGAAATCCACCGATTTTGCAAAATAGCTTTGATAGATGATGGTGGCTTGTCAATCTCATCGAATGAATCGAGAAGAATGAAATCGATGAGAACATCATAAAAATTTATGCACTTGACACCACGTCCCGTCAACTCCTCCTCCATAATTCGATGATTACTAGAATCGCTGAGAAATTCCATCATCCTTTCATAATGGCTGAGATAGTCTTTGGGATCCTGTGAAATAAAAATAAAAATTATGGCAATACACCATTACCTAACAGTAACTTAGTGATTCTATTTGAATGAGCAAAGCTAAACAAACCCTGTCAGCGTAAACGATTAAATTGCTGATGACTTGACGACCGATATCAGCAATCCAAGAGGCTGCTACAGGCAAAGTAAAGAGCCTGGAGTATGCTTGGCGCAGACAATGGACCTTCGCCACGTATTCAACATCAGAACCGCATTTAACCAACTCCGTGTGCAGCTTCCTAAATTATTCATCCAAAGAACGTATAAAAAATAAATGGAAGACGTCATCAGAGAGTTTAACTATAAACTAAATTAATGTATCATTTTCATCACATTGTCCGTCAAACGCTGTTTACGGACATTGTGATGAAAAATTATGTTTGGCACACGGCCGAAAATAACTTTTCTGACTCGTGCGATCATATTTATCGGCCTCAGCTCAGTCTGCAACCCTCGCACTCGTCCGAAAAGTATTTTTCGGCCTCGCGACGAAAATAACTATTTATTGCCTGCAAGGAATGCCGCGGTCCTCATGTTGCTTCAACGCAGCGTGATACAGCCTTTGTTTCTCAAAATGTGGGAAAAACTCCGAGAACTCCTCAAACTCCCTCAAATCTGCCACCTGAGATACAAAGAGCAGAGTGTTAACTAGTAAAACAATTTACTCATTCATTTAAAAAAAAACCCATTACCCCATCTTTGGCTGAAGCAAAAGACTCGGGGGACGATGCAGCATCCGTTTTGTCTCTATCCTTTCCAGACCGTGTTGTCGAGGCGCGCTTGTGACTTGTTTCACTTCCGTCGCTGCCATTGCAAAATAGTACGGAGTGCTATAAACAAAACAATAGGCTTTTACCCTGACAATTCAAGCAGCATTTCAAAAAAAGCCAAGTCTCGAAGCATCGATTTTGCCTCCCTCTTATTATTTCCAACATTCGAAAAAAAAAACAGAAAATAGAAAAAAATCATAAATAACCAATGTCAATCCACCTGATCGATAAACAGCAACTCAGCCGTACTTTGAATTTGATAACCAAGGTCAAGCAATTGTTGTACATCGTGAGTGAAGGCAGCATCCGCTTTAGACGGTAATGCAAGTGCATTACTCCCGCAGATGCAGCTGAATGCAGTTAGGGCATCTTCCCAGCAATAGAGAGCCTTTTCTAGTGCTTCCAATCCTGCAAAAGGAAGAAATTGAAAGAACGTATATTTTAATGTGCACATACAATTCAAGCATCTGTTCACCCCGGTCCATCCCCTCAACCCTCTTCCCACTGTTCCTTGTTAAACCCTGACATAGAAAAAATTGACAGAATTCTTGTGATGAAAAGCTGAATTGACGAAAGAAAACAAAGTGGAGGGGAGAAAGGGCGCCCGATATATGTGGTCTATACCTCTCCTCTATTTGTATGCGTACGGTTCCCTGGAGTCTCATGCCTCGGCCTGGGCCAAGCGTCAATAACACCGCCAAGTGACGTAATGCCTTTGAAAAATTCTTATTGGAGGATGTGTCATCCAATGGGGCAACGTAAGAGGGGTTCAATATCGCACAAACCGTGTGCTAGTATAGCAGAATGGATAACGTCCGTAAGCGCAGGCCCTAAAGCGCGCGTTAAACCACCTCGTAAAAGCGAAACGCGCGCATCGATGCGGTCAATCCCTTGGTACAATACGCGTGGTAAGGGTTCAAATTGATGGCCCCCCATCCAGCGTATTATTTTTTCGCATAAACGCGTGGAGCTAATCTACGCCAAATAAGTAATCGATTTTTCTACTTATTTTCTTCATTTTTATAATACTTTTTATTTTGCTTTCCGTTCGAGAGTCGGACAGTCCAAAAGTAAGTTGGAATAAGTGTTGATGCACCATTCACCTGAACCAAAGCCTCCGACTCTATGATTTTGGGAGAGGAGTGGTGGGGAACTTTGGATTCAAGGAAGAAAGGGAAAGATAACGGTCAAATCTGAGAAGAGCCGTCAGGACTCTTTACTACGCCGGCATAACAGGCAGGGGGAGAGAGTTTAACAGGCCTCTGCGTCGTCAGTCGTTTCTCGCTCGGCTTATTCGCCACGCGCACTTTATAGACACTGCACTGCTGAACAAGGGAAAACGTGTCGAGTGTGTTTTACTGTGATTCTTCCATTGGATTATCGTGGGATTTGAGAACAAGGAAAAGTTGTATTCATCTAATGTTCTTTTTAAAAAGACACTAATTTTTGTGGTTTTGGTGTTACATGAATCCTTCCAGGCGTGTTTCAGTCTGTCTGTACAAGTGAATTCCATCGTGAGTATAAACTGTTTCGATATCACCAGTGAGATAATAGATCAATCATTGTCTTGGAAGTTTTAATCATCGAAGGCTGCAAAGAGTGCGATATATTGACGTGAAATTCCCTCGTGAAATAGATAAACGGAATTTTTTCGGTGACGCGGCAATGTAGATCATCCAGAAACGTGCCGTTTTACACAACAAAGAATTTCAAGATGCAGTGACTAAGCCAATTGAACGAAATTAAAGGGGTTGGAAAGAAAGCGGAAAAAATATTAATGATGATGATTCGTTGGGTGTTTATGACAAGGCGAAAATTAAGCGAGATGACTCAAAGGATGGAGCGTGTTAGAACACTAATATCATTATTTATTTTGATTTCTCCTTGTATTTCATCTCAAGTTTATTCTCATTGAAAAACATTAGCTCCGGGTGGATAGTGTTGGCTCTGTTCAAACTGAACGTATTCTCCATGACCACCTTGAGAATACATTAAGTCGACTATGATTTCATATGCCAACTTTTGATTTTTCTATTTTTCTTCCTCAGCTTTATTATCGATCACTTACTTATTTAACTTCATTTGAAATTTCTTATATTTCCGTTTATTTACAAAATGGAAATACAAAAATTTCATAATCGACTCACACAATTTAGACTAGCGAATCGGATTCCTCCCGTTCCATTCCAGCGGCAGACCTGAAGAGGAAAAAAAATCAAGGACAGTTGGTAGTGAGCGAGAGAAAAATAAATGAAAAATGTGTCGGCGTTGCGCAATCCGAGTTGAGCTAACTTATTTCAACAGAGAACGGTTCACCTACAATATTTCGAAAAGAGTAACAAAAAAACGTGGTTCTTTTGAAAAAAAAATAACGACTGCAATGTCGTGCATCGTTTTGATTACCAGGGATTGACCTTGGGCAGGGGCGTGTGGAGTAGGCAGGTGGGAGGTCTCTAGTTTTGGTTTAATTCCCTCGGTGGCCGTGTACCCACTCTCTTTGCGGAAGGATCGATACATACAAACAATTCGACCGATTTCAACGTTCTTCCTCATTTCTCCTTTTCGCTTGAGCTCAATCACCTCACTGAATTATTTCCACACTTATTATTTAATCATTCAGCAGCCTTAACTTTGAATTATCAGATTTCTCCCAAGTTTATAACCGAACGTCTCTATTCGATCCGGCTGATAAAAAAGTGTAACGGGAGAGACATGCGCTGAGGGAATTGCGTGACGAGGATAAATTGATCAATTCCGATGAGATTAATGAGAGTGACACAGAATTTGAGTGTTCTTGCTAGTCATATATATTCCATACTTCTAATTTGCACAGTAAAACGCCCACGTACGTACCTATACGCCTCAGATAATGATACACATTAGCATCAAACCGCCCCTTGTGCACTTTATATTGAGTTCACTAGAGTGTGTGACCCAAGCCCAGAGCCAGGCTTGTTAACTCATCGTAGTCAATGTCAATTACTGGAGATAGGTCAAATCAACCCATTCGACAGGCGAAAAATGAATTCCACCGCCAGAATCAGCATTTTTTTTTCATTTCAATGAAGTCATTCAGATATATGCGTTCACCCTGTGATACTAAATTTAGACAATCATATGATGTGAGGTTCAAACTTCCATAATGACTAATACAAGTGGAGTTCATTGAGTCGGACACTGAGTTGGACATTGAGTTGGACAGAAACCATAAATGTTCATTCAGGAATTTATAACAAGAAATATCTTAAAATATCTTGTTACAACACTCTTGCACCAATTCGGCTGAACAATCGGTTATCTATGCAAACATAAATTAACTGTTTCACGTCCAGGATAAATCATAAAAAACAATATTTCAATTAATGCGATCACTCAGTACAGAATGCCCATCATAATCTCAATTACGACTGGTCATGACAGAGCAATAACCCCAGTTAATTGATTCCTGATTGGAGCAATGGGGTATCCAAGATTGGAATCGTAACTGGTGGGTGGTGGCGTTGAAATTGAGCAGAGAAAACTGTTCGACAGTCATTGGAGTGAATGACTTTACCATTCTTTATCAGCAGTTGTTGGATTGAGATCAAGTTCCAAGTATTTGATACGATGAAAGTTTCCGAGTCAGTTCGCTGGGTTATCATGGCAACGTTGGACGATTCGTCAGGTTGGGGACCAGGCGGAAAATCGATATGGCTTTTGGCTCGAGTCTAGTATATTATTTGTAGCTATACCTACCCTTTCTACCTAAATATTTGACTCCCTTGGCAAATATTGTGACCACAGACCTTGGGGTTATTATTCTTTCCGATATATCAGTTCCTAGCTGCTATTATTTCATCCACTCACTGCAAACATCGTCGGCCAGAAAATTAAAAAAAATCCATAAGAATTATCTGTTGCAAATTGCAAATGCTTATTCGCGATTCACTTTTATTAAGAATGTAAAATTGTCTGGAGTGATTTATTTCAAGTTTACGCCTTGGTGCATCGGTCATTCGTGCATCTATTAACATTCTGATGTGTCCATTTCCAATGACCAACAGACCATATCAGAATTTCTAGCGAACTGTGTTCTGGTCACGGGTCATCGGTTGATTTGTTTGATTAGAGAGTGCCCTCCAGGTGTTTCAGCACCAACACATCCTCGGCCAAGGTTTCTTCAGTATGGTCGATCCTTTATTTTTACCTGCATTGTATGAGACTATGAACGCGAATAAATTTATTATCAGTTGTGGTGGTGGGTATATGAACGGTACCGCGGAAACTTAGCACCGTTACTGCACCACGATGATGGGCGCAATACCGTGACTGACCAGGGGGCAGATTCGCGAGGCGAATCGGCAAAACTCGTCTCCATTTCCGGTTTCCGTTTCGCCAAAAGAGAGTTTGTTGAAGACAAGATGGCATAGCTATTTTTACGTGGTAATTAATTTGCAGGGTATTAGTTATTATGGGATTGACCAACTCCTCTTGTTGACGATTTTCACGTGGCCAAAACATTTTTTTTTAGCAATCAATTGTCATATTCTACTGTTGGTGTATTTCATCATCAGTTATGAAATGCTGTTCTAAAATTCGCCAATCCTTCATGTCAAACTTCATTGTACTACGTAAATTGATGAAGTTATACGAAATTCCATTTGTCCCCGCTTTGTTGGCTTGAAAGACAATCACTATTACAGCAACATTTGGGAATATTGGTCTTTTTTAATTGTCTATGATTCAACATTGTCAGAGTTAAACTCCACAAACTTTGTGCAATTTTGTTAAATTTTTGGCAATCATTTTTCAACTCTCTCGATTGGTTATCTACTCTGATCTAATGTAAAATTAGTTATTCAATCTAATATCTTCAAGTCGAATATTGTTTTTAATAATGATTGATCAAACCTAATTTGGTTAGTCTTAACGAATTTGGTTAGTCTTAATTAACTTGAGTCCATCAGATAATTTTCATAACATAATTCAATTCAGAGTTTATCAAGACTTTAGAATCATTATGTTCTGGTCATTAAATGTTAAACAACAACAGAAAAAATGAGAAAATAGTGGATTCATTAGAGTTTTAATTCAGAAACAATAATAAACAATAATTGAGTCAGATTTCTCGAAAACTTGATTCAGATTGCGCCGATCTCTTATTTGAACCTAAAGAATTCAATCCGTTAGTCGTAATTTCCCATGAGTGATTTCGCCAAAGTAGTGTTAAAATAGTTATATTTAACGACATAAAATTTTCTGTTATTACAGATGGACTGGAACAAGTTTTTATGGAGTAGGTGTATCTCGTTGGCGTTCGTAATTGTGGTAGCGGTTATGCCAGAATCAAAATGCGACAGTAGTGTTCACATATATTCGACTTATCGTCTGCTTGTGACCTCTAGCACATTAAACTGGCTGCCAATAAGCCATTACGAGCCTTCCAAGGACAGTAACCTTGTAATTGGGGGATTTCAGATTTCCCAAAGAACTGGTACGTTCAGTTTCTCATGTTTCTATTCCATTTTATGGTAATAGACGGATAGATTGACATGAATAGTAATTTTTGTTTTCACCATGGATTTCAGATGACAGCTATAATGAGGGTCCATCAGAGCAGCGAGAGATGTATGTTTGTCGTGCAGCTCAAAGTGGTGTATGGGTTGCTGGTGCACAGTTGAAAGGAGAGAAAAGATGCACCGTTACAGTTCTAGGGACCGTACAAACCGTGGAAAATTATGATTTGCTGGAGAATGTTGATAATGCTGCTCGTCTAAGCTGGGTCAGTTGGGACAAATTTCATCAAATTCCCACGGGTGCTGTTGTCACCGAAACCATGTACGTGGCACGTCACGTTGTTACTAGTGATGAGACTGACAAGGATAGCGCAATACGTACCTACACCCACTACATTGGTACACTGAATCACGACGAGAAACTGGGGACAATAGCCTACGTCAAGAGCGTCAGTTTCACTGTCAATTTGTTTTTATTTGTTACCCACACTCGTAAAGGAATTTCAGACGTTACGTCCCCATTTGAAATTTAATTTTTGTGTTCTATTTTTATCGACAGGATGGCCTAGAAGGATCAACAGATTCTGGAGAGTTATTAGTTGAGACCGAGCCAATTTACTACGAATTAACGTCCGTTAAGTTGAATCACTGGCGTACCCGTATAATTAAGAGTGAACCAAGGATAATCGGACAAGCGACAATTAGCAATTCGAGGAATGAACGGGCCAAACTGGCCGAGGCATTTGGATATAATTACAAATATTCCAGTTACTGGGGGCAAGGTCACGCTATGATTAAAGCACTCAACACCTCTATTACACTGTTCAATAGGACCAAGTTACCCAATATTAAATGGGGAATGCAGGAGAGATCCGAACGCCAGGATAGCTGTTCGTGAGTGAATAAAATATGAACATACCTAAATAGGACTTATTAATTTTCTTTTTTTTTCTTCGACTTATCCTAACGGTTAATGATTGTTTAATGACAGAGTGGAAGTTTATCTTGATCCTGGGACTGGAGTGAACGTGACGGTCAGGGCAAATTATACAGAGCATGAGGTGTCATATACTGGGCAATTAGTGTCACACTATGCTGATGGTGAGAGCAAGTCCAGAGTGATCAGTGGAATGCGTAAAGAGGAAGCGATCACCGATTTGCGGCGAGAATTTGGGCCCGTTTATTTCCTCAATAATTTGACCATAGTACCCACAACAATGGCCCCTACGACGACACGTGGGCCTATTCTTCTCCCCAGCTCAAGTTCCAGTTCCAGTACCTCAGAAACTTTATCGATCACCACAAACAGACAGAACGATATCAACAGTATTGTGGGAGGTGACGACGATGATAATAGTATAATTCCACCGAAATCTGATTCGAATATACAGAGTGACGATGGCGGACCTCAGTCCCTGAAGAATAAGGATGCATTGGCAGGAGCTACGAATTCATTACCCTGTCTTTCCATTTCCATAACGTCATTTTTAGTTGCTCTCTACAGAATAACGTGAAGCTATTATTGATCAGGGACAATAGAAAATCAAATTCGATGTAAACATCCTGATTGACACCTCAGCACATTCCTCATCCAACGGAATATTTATTAAAACAGACTATATACAGTTATACTTGCACGTTTCTTTCAATATTGTTTTCTTGACTGTTTTCTTTTTAAGAGAAGTGGTTTTCCATTTTTGTTGGAGAGAAATGAGCAAGTATAATGGTTTAAAAACACTACAAAAACCTTGCAAGATTTTTCCAATTGAAGTGGGAATAATTCTTATATTGTGTGGTTAATAAACATGTTATCATTTTGTAGTATTCATAGAGAAATATGAATACACTTTACTAACTACAATACATATGCTTGCCTTTCAAAAGTGAGGCTGCTGTTGTTAAGCTTAAAATTATATGAGCATTTCAAAGTTGACAAAAGCAGACTCACGTTAAATAGCACTCTAAGAAATGATACATTACTGAGCTAGTCTAACTGAACGTCAAGTACAATTTACAAGAATTACGAGACAGATATATGTCCAATGTTCCATACACGTGTTAAATTAAACTCTGATGCAAATAACCGTTATTATGAACAAATCCATGTTTGAAATTTAATAGGAAGCGATTTACTGCAGCGATTAGATCGATTTACCCCACCAATGGTTTTTAAATGTCATGTAATAATCGTTAATACAATTTTTCAAACGAATTGGGTGGGTGTTGACCACGCAGTATTAACTTGATCTTTGAAAAATAATATGACCGTCGTTCGAGATAATATTTTTCTGGAATTGATTAAGCAGTTAAATGAATGTGAGAACGAGAGACGAAAATTCGGAGAAAAGAATGTAGTTGCTGTTTATGGGGAAGCACAGCTACGTTATATTTTTGAGATTGGGATACAAAGAAGATTTGTAATATTTATAAGAACGTAGCCGATAAGTTTTGTGCAGAAATACTGTTAGGGCTTGTGAAACATTGATAATGTATTGAATTTAAAAAATTATGTTTTTTTTTCTTACTCCATTTAATTGAATATGTATTCGAGTTTCTTAGAAAATTTTGACCGCAGATATTATCGTTCAATTTACCGCTTTCTTGTATATGTTTTTGTTTGATGAATTTAATCGTAGAATAAAAATGATGCGAACAAGGTCAAACAAAATTCAGTAGTGAAATGGTGTAGGCGAGATGAATTAATTTCACATTTGAATAGATTAGTTACAAAAGATCTGGAAATTTCAGAGAGATAGTGAAATATTTGGAGGAGCGGTTTCTAGAGCTAAGTCAGATCCACACAAAAATCGCAAAAAAATTGACGAAATTTAGTATGAATTGACCTGTATCTTGTGAAAATTAGTTTGACAGATTCGGTAACATAATGACATATGATTTCAAAAAATGTCAAGAAATGGGAGATATTACAAATTTTAACATATAAATATCAAATTATGACAATTGAACATATAATGGCATACTTTGACAGATTCTATCATACACAATATGTTATAATCTGTTATATGCTGACATTTTTCGAAATTTTTAGCATAGGTAGTTTTCTGAAAATGTCAAAATAAGACATAATCTGGCAAATAATGACATAATAGAACATATGATGCCATGCTTTGACAGATTCTGATATTACTCGACAAAAAACTAGAAATGATGTTGGAATTAGATAGTACTTGATGATCCAATGTTACAAAAGATGAGGAAATGAGAAGTTATGACATATTCTGTGAAAAAAAACACATAATGACAAATTAGAATATTTTGTACTGCTTGTTTTGGCTAAAATATTACGTTAACTGACGTAATTCATCAAACTTTAATTTCAGTTTTTATGAAACAACACAAAAGAATCATAAACGCATAAATTATAACAAATATTTTTTAAATAATCGATTAGAATTTGTAATATTCTGTAAAAAAAATCTAATACAGTAGAGGCTTCGAATAAGATACCTCGCGCCCCAAGAGTTCGAAGCCTACCCCCACTCTCGGCACTTTTATCGCCTTCCGAATGTTTATGTTCCATGGATTTCTTATAAGATACCTATGGCTCCGGCCATTTTTCAACGAGAAGAAAGTAGTTATAAGGATCAAACGGTGTTAAGGGTCAAACGGGAGGGACAAACGAAGTAATCATGAAGGTCTAATGACCTTAAGGGGGGAGGTCACACCACTTTTTTCAAGTAATGGAAATATACATCGATTTTTTTTTCACTTTTCCCATCGAAAAATCGTAATTTTTCATCAGTAATTATTCTCGAGTCCACCAACAATCCCCCAACATCAGCTGCCATTCTATCACGCGTTTAGAGAGAAAAATTGAAAATTAAAAACCCCCGACGAAAAAGTTGTCAATTGACTTATTTAAAAACTGAAAAANAGTAATTATTCTCGAGTCCACCAACAATCCCCCAACATCAGCTGCCATTCTATCACGCGTTTAGAGAGAAAAATTGAAAATTAAAAACCCCCGACGAAAAAGTTGTCAATTGACTTATTTAAAAACTGAAAAACAGAAAAATTGAAAATTAAATACCCCTGACGAAAAAGTTATCATTGAGTAGTTTAAAAAGAGGAAAATAAAAACTCTAAATTTTAATTCGACGAATTTTGGAGAAACTGCAATTTCTTTTGTAACAGAAGAAACAGCAGAAAAAAGTCGGGGGGACACCAACATTTTCGTGACTCTATGTGTCCCACCAACTTTTTCGTCGGGGGTTTTTAATCTTCAATTTTTATGGATGAAAGTTCATATATGTAGCAGATGTTAATTACAAAATGGATAATCAACCTTTCTAATCGTTAGGAAATCATTTGGAGATATTTGGAAAATAGTTTGCGATATTTGGAACCCCAAATATTAATTAATATTGATTAATTAAAAATTGGCCGTATGATTGGCAGAAATGTCCAAAATTTCCTTCTTGACATTATCAGCGGAAAATTATTTGGATAATCGGTGGTTCATATACCAATGTTTGGAAAAATTCCTTCAATTAAATATCAATAGTTTATTAACGAACATTGGTTTATGAACCAATCGATTATCTAAATGATTTTACTTTGACTGACACTGTCAAAGATGAAATTTTCTACATTTTTGCTGAATTCTACGGCCAATTTTGAATTGATTAATATTAATAATATTTGGGTTTCTAAATATTGAAAACTATTTTCCAAATATCCCCAAATGATTTCCTAACGATTAGAAAGATCAATTATCCATTTTCTAATAAGCATATGCTCAATATATGGAGCTTCAGGAATCACCGGGACGTCTAGGTGTTATTATATCTATGGTGTACACAGTAACAGCTGAAGAGCAGTAACTAACCAATTTTACCAACGTATTTTTTGTTTGCTCGCTAGGGAATTACAGTTTAATATTTTCACCGTCCCCAAATCATTTTTTTTTTTGCATTTTGTAGAACTAGCGCAGCTGCGGCCGCAGCTTTGATGCTGTTGCTCGTGAAAATGTTCATGAAAACGCGCTGTGTTCATTCGAATACGAAGGTTAATCTCCATGTCCGCGCTATGGAATGAAACGGGAATTTAATATTCTCTTTCAGAAATTTTAGATGCGATAGCATGAATTTGTAGTCGTGTCTCGGTCATGGCATTTCCTGATGAAGATTTACTTCTAAGGCAATAATCAATATAATCGGATAATGAGAGGCAAAGAGTTCGACTAATGAATGTCTGTCTTTATCACTTGCAATGAAATATCCTATTCCGAAAGCTCATCAGTTGTACAATTCTGTGTATACGTGATGCTTCGCAGCATTTGTTTCTCTCTGTTCTCCCAAATATACTTTGAGAGAATTCCATGAACGAACACGTAACAAGGCGACATATAATTGACCATGATTGAAAACGTCTCTTCTGAGATCTATTCCAATTCTTTCAAAGGTTTGCCCTAGTGATTTATTTATTTTCATAGCAAAAGCTAATCTAATTGGAAATTGTCTCAGTCCGAACTGAAAAAGGTAATTTTCATCACTGTACAAAATACGATTTATAAAAAATTTCTGTGCTCACTGAATGATGTTCTAACTATAATTATAATAAAAATTCTATTCAGAGTGCGGAACAATAATTATTAAAGTTCTCACAACCCAGAATTGTTTAGTGCTCGCCCACCCCTTTTATTCTCCGTTACACCTTTACCAAAGCATTCAATTTATTTTTGCTGGAAAAATCATATGACAGATTCTGATGCTCCTTCGTTAATTCGGAGTATTTTCTCCTCATTCGTGATCTTTTTCACAATTTTATTCGACGATGCAATGAACTTGAAACTTTGATGAATCATCTAAATTTTTGTCAAATTCTCCATGAAATCCCAAATATCAAATCTGGGGCCAGGCTTTCATGGAACCGGAAGATCTCTGTGAGGCGGCAGTTGCCAGTCTAGTGAAAGACACAGGGCTGGGACTGGTGGACTGGCAAAATTACGGCGGATGTTACAAAAGATCGTATGATCTAGGTGACTGTGGGCATGCAATTGACCAGCCGCTTGTTTTTTCTATTCTATTCTATTCTCCATGAAATCCCGAAATTCTTGTGAATTTTGCTTGAAAAATTTGGAAATTTTTGTGAAATGATGTTCTCAAATTTTTCAAATTATATTTTTCTTTCCCATTTGAATCAATCAGAGTGCAGTTGTTCGGGTCACGTGACTCCTTCACATCAATTTCATTTGGAAAATTCCACCTTTTCCTATCAATTGTTCTCTCATTGTTTATTCAAAAATTCTCTAATATTTGAGAGACCCAAAATTTCCTTCAATTTTCGAAGAATTCAGTTATCTCGAATTTTCGATTTTCTCCAATTCTTTCAGAAAACCTCGTAATTGTTTTGAATTCTCTGGAAAACTGCCGAATCCTCTTACATCCGGAAAAAACTGGCTACTCTCTGAATATCAGCATCTCATGTTTCCAGCACCAAATTGAAAATGAAAACTTGAAATGACCGTGTGAATTCTCCATCCTTTTTCGTGAATCTGACATTCATGTTAATGATTCAGAGGATATGACACAAATATTATCATTCTTGTTCTCTGCAATTTTTTAATTTGGATATTATAATCTTTTTAAGCGAAAAAACTGATCATGGTTTTTATTGTGTCGTATTCAAATTCTATAATCTCATAATTCTAGCTACTGATTCCAATCAACTTTGGAGAAAACCTTACTAAACGCAACAATAAGAAAGTTAAATAATTCTATTTTCGATTTGGACAATTATAATTGCTTTAGCATCCGAAACTGTCAAGTAATTAGGTACAGAATATTCATATGTTGAATGAGAATTCAAGGAACTTGAGAGTTTTCATCTTCATGCTGTTAAAAAATGTTGAATTGCAGTCAATTTCCAGTGAAATTTTACATTTCATGAGTTTTCCCTCTCAAACTCCTAAAATTTACTATTAAATTATCCTTAAAATCTTTTTTTTCAACAGTAAAACTGCTATTTACTCATAATTATGCAGAAATATTTAAAAAATATGTAAAAAAATGGAACGTCGACTTTTCGAAGTAGACTAACGAAATGATTGAAAAAATTGCGATTTTCGGAGACCATGACTTTGTTTTTATAAATGATTCCATCATAATCAATTTTTCACTCAAAGAATAATTTTTCCTGAATTGTAACGAATTTTTCTACGAATTTTTCTTTCTTGTAATCAATTTTATGTGAAAATTATATTTTTTGGAAATTTGAGCCATTTTATTATTTATTCCTAAGAAGAGAATGTTGAAAAAAGCAAGTATTTATAGAATTTTGTTCGAAAGCCGCTAATTATCCATCCTTTATTTTCGAGCTTTTCCTAGCGAATTCAATTGATAAATTAGATGATTGAAAATCTTTGAATAAAAAGTATTCCAACTTTTTTATTCCATGGAAAATATTTAATATACACAAAGCTTCTAAAAACAAAAATCTAATAAAAAAATTGAAATCAAATGATTTATAAGCAGATCCACGTCAAAACGCAAGGCCAAAAAGTCGATCTCACGGATTTTCTCGCCAATTTTTTTCCTAAAAGTTAGCCTCAATGCGAACATTTTGAAAAAAAATCACCCAAAAATATTGAAAATTAAGGAAGTTATAATTTTTTGAAAATTTTTCGTTTTTTTCGAGGTAATTTTTTTTTTCAAGTTTGCAGCAATATCGAATTCGGGTTTGGAGGTATCAAATCGTGGTTTTGCACATGAAATATACATAGAAAAACCTTTAAAATGAGCCATGTATTCCATTGTTATTTAAGGGTTTTATGGAACAAAACGTGTTTTTTATTCAATCACAATTATCTCAGAAACCTCATTTTTTAAAAATCCGAAATTTTCACCAAAAATCATCAGTACGATGATGAAAATTTTGGCAGCAATTAAAGTTATTACTTCGCAGTGGTTGACTGCATTTTTATGGGTGAAATAAACATGTTGCTGGAAATCTGAGGAAAATGTTACTAATTTCTCTTAAATCAAAATGTGGGTGCTGAGGATCTCTTTGTCGATTTTTTTCCTCAAAGTAGATCTTCAGACGAACATTTTGAAAAAAAATCATTGGAAAATATCGATAATTACGGGAGTTATGATTTTTAAAAAATTATTTTCTCTTTTTAAATCAATAAACTTACGTGATTTCCTTCCAAGAGAAAGAAATAGTCTTATAGAGAATTTTCTGAATACTTGTCTTCACGAGAGTGACTACGGGGTGGCAGCTGAATGGCACTTTTACGCGTCTTACCATGGAAAAGGCCCTTGTGATGGGATAGCCGACACTTTCAAACGTGTAACCAAGCGAGCGAGTCTTCAGCGGCCCTTTACGAATCAAATTACCAACGTAACAGAACTTTATGATTGAGCACGAGCTAATCTGCCAA